TGGTCAAGGCTGAGTTAGATGGTGCTTATGGGACACGTGCTCAGCGAGCGGCCGATGTGTCAATGAACCCCGCCATTCAGAAGGAACTTGACCACTTGAATATGCGAAACAACGAGCTCGAAGGTCATGTGAACAACCTGAAGAGGGAGCACGAGGCCAGGGACACGGAAAGCGTCGAGCTGCAGAACAAGGTCGCCGCTCTGCAGAAGGAACTGAAAGAGACCATTGAAGAGTACGAAGTCATGACAAGACAGAGCATTGAGGACGAAAAAGAGCGGGAGAGGCTTGAGGAGAGAGTCGACGCGTTGCAGCAGCAATGTGAGGCACTCGAGTCACAACTCAATGAAGAGAAAGTGAAAGGGCTGGGGGCCAAGGTCTCGTCGCCTACGGAGACGACGTCCACAATGGTCTTGAAGAACGAATTCAAGAAGATGATGCGCGAAACACGAGCAGAGAATCTCAAGATCCTCAAGGTAAGACTGACCGATCGGTGGAGTGTCATATGAAGATAGAGGCTAACAGTGTCTGTAGGCCGAGCAAGAGGAAAGACGTCGCTTAGAAGGCATCATCAAGGGCCTCAAGAAAGATCTTCAGCAACGGCACTCTCAGAAGGAAGCGCCCTCAACACCGGTGGAAGCGACAGATTCTCGCTGATGTTTCTCATGACCGTAATGATCTATCAACGACCAACACATGCAGCTATTGATGGCCAGCACTCTACAAAACCTGGGCGATTTCCTGTTGGCTTCGGGACTTCCACTTGTACTACGCACACTGTTCATGGGGAATTTGTATCATTAGAAGGAACGGGCATTGGGAAGAGACGGCTGTGATGCATTTATTCGGCGATATTTTGGAATTGGACAACCCCTATCTGCGGTATCCCAAGCAATAGGTCTTCAGGAAAAGTACAAATGGTAATGGATGCTCTATTATCCCAGCGACTGCTGCTTCAATTCTCTCTCGAGCAACTCCCTGTCGATCGCGGCTGCCTACTTCACCATCTCGCCTTCCAATATTCTCGAAGCGCTTGAGCATTGACGCTGACACAACTTAGACAATTATCTCTCTTTCGTCTCGATCGGTTCAGACAGCCAAAGTCATCAATCGCTTATGGTACACATTCCTTTTGCACACACTGCCAATCCCAGAACCACACTTCAGCACATACACCATACTCCGTACTCATGCCAATGGGGACTAGCTCGATCGACGGTCCTCTGTGTCGGCTGTGATATTGAGTTGGATCTCAGAACGAAGTCATGTTGGAGGCACCCTCCTTGAATTGCCCGCAAGACACCGTTCCGAAAGCAGTTCGGAGGATACAATCAGTGCCATCATTGCGACATGAACTACCTTCCTCGGAAGAGTCGATCCCAGACGATTCGATATATAATGCCGACCCCGTCCAGTCGCGTGAAAATCTATCCTGGATACCAGCAATAGACCCGGCTGGCGGGCTGGACCTGTCAGCATCTTTGAGCTTGCCCTTTGCGTCTCGGCTCCCTCTCAGCAGGCATTCTACATCACATAGTAATTGGCCAACCCCACAGCTCAACCCTATCATTGAACACAGAACGTCGCTCAATTCGGTGAACCCTGCCATGTCTCGAGCGGATAGTAAGAGCAAACAGCCTTCTATCGAATTATACCATCAACGCTCTTTTTCTGTGAACGACCTTGACTGCGTCCGGAGACGGGATGCCATACTATGCAAATCTACCAATTCTACGAGCTCTGAAGAAAGTATACATACAGGTGGATGGTGTTCTTTGTTCCCTATAAAACCTCCAGCGTCACCACCACCCAGAGTTTCGACACCGCCAGGGATACCTTCATTCGGCACCGAGCAGGCGACATTCCTGCGCTTGGTACAGCAGCAGCCGTCAAGCAGACTTTCATTTTGGAATCGCATTTGGAGACGCAGTGTGGACGGCAGCGATGAGCAAACCGTGACAAGCCTCAACTCTGAAGGTTCCCCAAGGATGTCGGCACAGAACCCGTCTAGTGGTCCTTCAAATTCGGTCGAACTCTTTGAGCGAACTCTGGCTGCAATAGGGATGGCGACCATTGTGGACCCTTCGCGCACAGGTGCTTCCTATTCTCGGGCTTCCCTGCCTCGTGGAGTTTACAAGGCCAATATCCCCGGACCACTTGCTCGAGCTGATGATGGTACATTGGTGCGAGGGAGATTCGGACCTCGCGCCAGCGGGCATGGCGTCGGTTCTCGCAATCTTGATTCGCACCCCCTGGGTCGATTGAGAGAATCAAGCGCGATTCAACAGGCGATGAGGGAGATCGACAAAGCGTGCGAAAGGACCAATCTTGAAAACGCCATGCTTCAGAGCGGATCCGGACTATCACATACTGTGCCAGGACAAGGATGGGCCAGCGATGAATCGCAGATTCCGCCTATGCAACTTCATCCGACCAGTGAAACAGAATTCGGCCCTCCATTTACCTCTCCAAACCTGAGAGGTAACTCGACGTACCATTCAGGATGCGCTCATAATCCCATGCACCTAGAACGTCCGATGCTTTCTCTTCTCAGCATTGACAGTGCGTCTGGTGTCCCGCCGAATGCGAGTGTTATCGCAGTCCACAAGAGGAATTGGACAAGTGGGAAGAAGCAAAGGTGCATGCAAGCGCTGAGACACTTGTGGCATGTGATGAAACACTGCTGGACACGCTTTTGGCGGGCTCTCTCTGTAAAGTGATGTTGCGTCCTCTAGGTAGCTCAGCTGGCTGGTTCTTTAGTAGGGGGTTATGGCAGAGGTGGAACAGATGTCTATCTATGAGCGTAGAAGAGAATAGGATGAGCATTCATATGATGTATCCATTCAATAGGTTTATCTGTTCGTCACTGCCTTGCTTGCTTTTGTTTGCCTGTAAGCCAGTTCCGAAGATATAAACATCCACCATCCCCTTTTGCAGCGCCGGCCAACAAGAATCGCTTGAACGCTAGGAGATTGAAAGATGTGTGGAATTATTCGTATAGTTGTTGCCCTCGGCAGTATCTCTTTGGTGTGATTTATCTCATCTCATCTCATCTCAATCAACTCGTCCGTGCCCAGGAGTTTCGCCATGGGATCGTCGGCGGCCATGCGGTTGCGTTTGTACGACTCCAGTTCCTCCTCGGAGATGCCGGACTGGAGTTCTTGCAGGGTGCGTTTTTTGGTGGTCGTGGTGGTGGTGTGCTCGGGCGCTGATGCTGGCGGATCAGCATCGTGACGACCTCGCGTGGTGTCTTCTTCCCCGGTTTGCGCAGGGTGGGGTGATTGGTTCTTGTCGCTCTGGACCGGGTCTGTTCTGGTGGTGGTAGTGGTGGCCGTGCCTGCTCTCTGCTCGGCGCTCGCGTTGGCGTCCTTGTCAGTGCCATCGCCATTTTCAATCTGCAAGAGCGACTGGCCCGTCCTCATTCCTTCGCTCGCTTCCCACGCTCGCAGGCCCTCTTCGCCCGTGCAATAGCTGTTTTTCACCGTCGAGTGACAGCACGCGTAACCCCACTTGAAGTCCTTCCACCACGATCCCCATACCGACGTGTGGTTGTTCTGGAAGATGTCCTCCGGGTATTTTGAGCGCGCGACCGCGCGTTCCGAGCCCTTGATGTGTCCCGATTCGTCGTACTCGACGTATCGTTCGTTGGCGACGACATTGAGGTGTTTGATTCGTTTCGATGGGTGTCGTTGTTGCTCGCCGCTCTCGGTCAGGAGATATTCATCCCCCCCGTATTTCTCGAGCAGAGCTTTCCGGGCCGCTGCTTTCTTTTCTGCCGCCTCCTGTGTTTGTTTCTTGCGCAAGAACTCGCCCTCTGTCGGGTTGGCTTGTAAGTGGAGTTTCTTCGTCTGCGATGAGGTCGTGTTGTGTTCTTGTGTCTCCCACGCGTAGCGTTGCGCCCGCTCGAATTCCGAGGCGTCGTCGTTCGTGGCTGCTGGGCGGATGAACCCTTCGTCTGCATCGGCATCGTCTGTTACCTGCGCAGCGGATTTGTCCATAGAGCGCGTCTTTGGATCGTAGCGCGCGGAGTCGAGGTCGAGGTTTTTCAAGTAGTTTGCGGTGTCTTCGCGCAGGCGGAGCTGGCGGGTTGAGGTCGGTTGAGAGCGACCCATGTCTGTTTCTTCGCCATACCGAGTGTCGGAGAGATCGGGGGTTCCCGAGTCGTTGCCGTCTTCTTTTTGACCTGCAGCTGCACGCTTGATAGCTTCCAGCTCCTCATATTCCCTGACCACGGCGTTGTACTCTCGACTGTCGTACCCGTTCCAACGGTCTCTTTTGGCATCCCATCCTAATTGTACGTCCTCGACGACCTCGTCAGCTTGGATATCCTTGCCCGTCCACCTCGCGCCTTGTTTCCTTGGCCGGCTTAGACACTCTTTTGTCTTGTGCGTCATGGCGCCGCAATTCTCACAGGCGCCCTTGCGGAACTTCGTGGCCGCCGGGCCTTGCTTCTTGCCTCGGTCGTACCATTTTGCCTTGTCGAGGGTATCTTTGGGGGCGGATTGTAATCGCTGATGCTCGAGGTAGTCGGCGTCTGAATGGGTGGTCTCGGCCCAGAACGGCCGCTTCGAGATAAAGGAGGGGATGTATTCGTTGCGAGTCTGGTCGGGGCCAGAGGGCTTTTTGTTCTGCTGCGCCATTCTCGCGGGGCAGAGAGACAGATGTTTAGGGTTCGTAGTAGACGCGACGTGAAGTCGAAGTTGACATTGACGTTGCGAAGTGTTTCGGAGCAAGAGGAAAGTTGCGAAGATTGAGGCGGGGGGACAAGAGGCGGAAAAAGTCAGAATGACAAGGCTGCATCGCAGCCTCGGCCTCTCCGCGCCGCCGCATGTCAATAGTCCCCCACTCTGTAAACATTGCATTCCTTCCACCCTCCTCAGTGAGACTTCTTTTGGATACGGATGCCCATCATTATCATGCTCTGGGATCATATCGCTCACCACATAATACGCGACAAAGCAGCGTCAACATGAGAAAGACGCGTCGATTACCTCATTACTCTCATGGACACCTTCCGAGTCCGCCTCAACTGCGTGGACCACTACCAAGCGGTCCCGATTGATGGCCTAGATCCTCCAGTACCTCTCGGTGTCGGCAGCGCGAGTCACAATGACAAACCTCGAATTTCGGTCATTCGCGTCTTTGGCGCCACCCCAACCGGGCAGAAGGTGTTGTTGCACATCCACGGGGCTCTGCAATATACCTACATCGAGTACAGCGGCAGTCTGGTCCCCGACGATGTTGACGTGGCTATTCGTACCCTCCAGCTCTCTATTGATCACGCTCTGGCCGTGAGCTACCGCAAGAATATCTATGAAAGGAAGCATCGATATGTCGCACACATCTCCCTTGTGAAGGGGGTTCCATTCTATGGCTTCCATGTCGGTTACAAGTTCTACCTCAAGATATACTTGTTGAACCCGCTGCATATGACGAGGCTAGCCGACCTGTTGCGGGAAGGAGCCGTTATGAAGAGAGTGCTACAGCCATACGAGAGTCACATGCAATACATAGCACAATGGATGTGCGACTATAACCTATACGGTTGTGGCTATATCGACTGCCAAAGAGTCAGGTTTCGCGCCCCGGTCCCCAGATACGCCGATCTGACCAACCCATTGCACCAATGGCACGATCTTTCCATTCCCTCCGACGCGATCTTCGACGATGGGCAACTGACCAAGCAGAGCCACTGTGCGCTCGAGGTGGATGTGCACGTCGAGGGCATTCTGAATCGCAACGACGTCCACGCTCGCACACTTCATCATGACTTCATTGAGCGCGTCCACCCCATTCCGGCAGATGCCAAGCTGGTGCAAAGCATGGCCGGATTGTGGAAGGATGAGACTCGGCGCAGGAAGTTGAGGATGGGACTTAAGGACCCGAATAGCAGCCCCTTCCCTCCAGAGGTTCTGGTGTCAATGTCAGCGGATCCGAGAAACACGGCTGACGGAGGTTGGATTCACGAACACGAATTCCGTCAAAAAGCGGCCGAGCTTGCTGCTGAAGAGTTTGAAAAGAGTGACAGGCAAAACGTGTCTTTTGACACCTTTGTGAAATCCACATCCCTTGAAGACACTGTTCGCACAGCATTAGAAAGCGTCGACGATTTGTACCCTCACAGAATCCAATTGCTCCACCTGAGAAGTCTGAATGACGATTCGAATGGTAATAACCCCATGCAAGAGGATAACTCTCGACCTATCGTTGATCAAGCTCGATCGGAAAAGTTTGGGGACTCAACAGGCTCTGACGTGGATGGAGACAACTCGGAAGGAGATTCTTCTGTCCGGTCACCACAAACAAATGCTCACAACGACATCAAACCCAGGGCTGCCGACAAGCAAGTCTCAAGTCCGATCAGCTCCTCCGAATACGAAAAGTACGGCATTCGTCCTGCGGGTGATGCGCAACACTTTGACGAAGACGCATTTGAAGTACCACAAGAATATCTGATCGATCGAGCTGGAGGTACAAATGGCACCAAGAGAGCACGCTTCGGAGAGGTACCAACATTCCAACCGAGGAAGAAACACAAACACTTGGTTGATGGTGAGAATATTTTGCCCGATGTGGGATTCTGGGAGTCGGATGAGGACCCAGACTTCTCGAACGAGATCAGTGATTCTGAGCCAGGTGCGGAACCGACAGAGGAAGAGATGCGAAATATCCCCTTGCCTCAGGCTACCATCGACCGCGTGTCACTCGCAGGCCCGCACCGCACATCAAAGAACGCGGCTGTGGATGGGCCAATCTCTGGAAGCCTCTCGCGGCGCTCGATACTGTCTTTTCCCACGGTGAAAGATCCCACGGATCCTGCTACTATACTTCGGCTTAGCCAGAAGAGCACTGCTTCGCAAAACTCCTCAAAGGCGTCTACGGGTGAACCTTCAATCTCCCCTGCGACGCTGAAGACGCCTGCAAAGTCCATATTCACCGACTCAGAACAGACCCCCTTGCCGCCCGCCGTAGGTGCAGGTATCGGGTCATCTGGGTTACTCAATATCAAACTCCAAGGTTTTCCAAAATGGCAGGCAGGGAACAGTGTGCACTTGTACAAACCTCGCCCGCCAAGTTTCAAACAGATAGCATCAACTATGTGGGAGAATGGTCTGCCTGATGTAATTTATCAGGAAGCATACTACAGTCAGGAGGAAGACGTCCCTGGCCAATCCAGGGAATATGCTGGTCGCGAATTCAAGCTCGAGAGTGCAACGGTGCCCTATCTACCAGACTTTGATGCTTCCGGAAAGTCCGCCGCAACATTCGGCCGGAAGCCTCCTTCGTTACTGGATTTTGCTGCTGAGAGAATTCGCGACAATCAGAGACGCAAAAGATGCACTATTTCTGAATGGGTTATTGCAGCGACTCCGCCTCGAAATCTCGACGTTCTCTCCTGGCTGCAAGAAGAAACGCAGGCACATATTGACAACAACGGGTCTAATAAACTTCGGACGCGTGGTGCCGCTCTTTCGCAGATCGATGGTCCAACGCAGAAGAATGATCATGGCTTCAAATATTCTCAGAAGCAGCCCAGTACGAGCGTTCAGCATGAGACACAGTATATGAATGTGATGAGCGTGGAGGTCCACGTCAACACTCGAGGTGCTCTGGCTCCAAATCCTGATGAAGATGCCATTGCTTGTATATTCTGGTGTGCGCAGACTGATGACGACGATGATGGTATTGACAACGATGCAAGAACGGATGGGCTCCACGTCGGAATCCTTGCTGTTGCTGATGATAAGCAGGCTGCGGAAAGAATTGCCCGCAACGTCCCCTATCACGTTGAGGAAGAGCCTACTGAATTGGATCTTCTTACGAGATTTGTCGACATTGTGAGGCACTATGATCCCGATGTTCTCACAGGCTATGAGGTGCACAATAGCTCCTGGGGTTATCTCATTGAGCGTGCGCGTGTCAAGTACGATCTGAACTATTGCGATGAGCTGTCCAGGATGAAATCCCAATCTCACGGACGGTTTGGCAAGGAAGACGACCGCTGGGGTTTCAACCACACTTCGACAGTTCGTGTCACGGGTCGACATACAATCAATATCTGGCGGGCCATGCGCGGCGAATTGAACTTGCTTGGCTACACTATGGAGAACGTTGTGTACCACTTGCTACATCAACGAATACCTCACTACAGCTTTGCTGATTTGACGAGGTGGTACAACAGCAAGAATCCTCGCGACCAGGCAAAAGTCATCGAGTACTTCATATCGAGGACAAAGCTCGACATTGAACTTCTCGAAGCCAATGAGCTGATCCCGAGAACAAGCGAACAGGCCCGACTGCTGGGGGTCGATTGGTTTTCAGTCATTTCCCGTGGTTCACAATTCAAGGTAGAGTCTTTGATGTTTCGCATAGCGAAACCGGAGAACTTCATCTTGGTCTCACCCAGTCGCAGGCAAGTCGGGGGTCAGAATGCATTGGAGTGCTTACCGCTGGTAATGGAGCCTCAAAGTGATTTCTATACCAGCCCACTGCTGGTTCTCGACTTCCAGTCCCTTTACCCCAGCGTCATGATAGCCTACAACTACTGCTACTCGACTTTCCTCGGCCGAGTCGTCGGCTGGCGAGGCGCGAACAAAATGGGATTCACAAATTATCGCCGGGAACCCAGATTACTAGAGCTACTCAAGGATCATATCAATATCGCACCGAACGGGATCATGTATGCGAAACCTGAAATTCGAAAGTCCCTGCTGGCAAAGATGTTGAGTGAAATTCTCGAGACCCGCGTCATGGTCAAGAGTGGAATGAAAGTCGACAAGGATGACAAGACACTGCAGAGGTTGTTGAATAACAGGCAACTTGCCCTCAAGCTTATCGCCAACGTCACCTACGGCTATACCTCAGCGTCGTTTTCCGGAAGGATGCCGTGCTCAGAGATTGCGGACAGCATTGTACAGACTGGCCGCGAAACGCTCGAGAAGGCAATTGCTCTGATCCACTCGGTCGAGCGTTGGGGAGCGGAAGTGGTCTACGGCGATACTGACAGTCTCTTTGTCTACCTCAAAGGCCGAACAAGAGAGCAAGCCTTTGACATTGGTGAAGAAATTGCCGACACAATCACGAAGATGAATCCTCGACCGGTCAAGTTGAAGTTCGAAAAAGTCTATCATCCGTGCGTTCTACTTGCGAAGAAAAGATACGTGGGGTTCAAGTACGAAAATCGCAACCAGACTGTACCAGACTTTGATGCCAAAGGAATCGAAACTGTGCGTCGAGACGGCACTCCAGCCGAGCAGAAGATCGAGGAGACGGCACTAAAGCTCCTGTTCCGCACCTCTGACCTGAGTCAGGTCAAAGCTTTTTTCCAGTCTCAATGCGCCAAAATCATGCAAGGCCGGATTTCCATCCAGGACTTTTGTTTCGCTCGAGAAGTCAAGCTTGGGACTTACAGTGACAAACAACCTCCACCTCCTGGTGCACTTATCAGCGCTCGAAAAATGGTAGAGGATCCGAGGCTGGAACCGCAATATGGCGAGCGAGTACCCTATGTGGTTGTTACAGGCGGACCAGGCGCCAGGTTGATCGATCGTTGTGTAGCGCCAGAAGTCTTACTCAATGACGCGCACTCGGAGCTCGACGCGGAGTATTACATTTCCAAGAACATCATCCCACCCCTTGAACGCATCTTCAATCTGGTGGGGGCAAATGTCCGCCAATGGTACGACGAAATGCCAAAATACCAGCGTATCAGGAGAGTAGACGGTGGGCTTGGTACAGAAGGTAAAAACAGTGCGAGGGCTCAAAAGACCATGGAGTCATACATGAGATCGTCGACATGTCTTGTTTGTCGCGATCGACTGGACACTCCGGCTCCGCTGTGTGACAAGTGCTCTCAGCAGTCTCCGCAGACTATGCTAGCACTCCGGTCGAGGCTGATGAAAGTTGAGAGAAAAGCGGCACAACTCGCCAAGGTATGCCGTTCTTGCTCGGGATTTGGTTGGAGTGAAGAGATACGGTGTGATAGCAAGGACTGTCCTGTCTTCTATTCAAGGACGAGACAGAAGACTGCTCTTGCGAACGAGGAAGCCCAGATTCTCCCTGTTTTGGAAACTCTGGAGAAGGGCACGGATGGACGAATAGATTGGTGATGTACTGCATTCATTGATGAGGCGAGGCATTGGTTGGTCTTGGATAGCATAGCATGGGTACAGGATTATGGATAACGAGGGGCAGGGACAGAGACAGGTGCATGAGATACCCCATCGGTTTGTTGAGGCCACAGGATACGACATGGAAATAATGGATATGTATATTATGTATGATCAGGGGCTGTTTCAGTCCTTTCAAAGTATCAACAACATCTGCCCAAAAGTGTCTCAGTGTCGCACCGAATACGTACTAGCGCCTTGGCATGTTTGGCACTCTTCTCTACCTTCTCGACTTCATTCTTCATCACCTTCACAACGATTTGCACACATCATCAGACTGGCATGAGACCAGGAGATACCATTTAACGAGCCTCACCAGCTGCTAGGAATGCTTCTCGCGCCTCCAGCATCTCAATCTTCGTTACGATCGGAAGCATGGCATCCCCTCCAAGGCGGACAAATCTGGCATGCAACTACTGCCGTTACAGGTGGGCTGGGTCCAACAGTACTTCGAGGGTTCGCAGACTCTAACTGACCGGCAGAAAACGACGCTGTGATGGCAATACCCCCACATGCAAAATGTGCTCAGATAGAGGCCTGGAGTGCGTATACCAAGACGCCGCGTCTCCGAGGTATGTCGGTGGATCCTTGACTGTCCTTTTAACGCTGCATAATGCTGAGCTGGCACAGAATTGACAGACATGAACCGATTGATGCTCACCTGGGTCGATTGAATGCAATCGAGGATGTTCTACGGCAACACTCAATGATTATCAACTCCTTGCGCCCAAACCCGCCACAGACATTCGACACATCCTCCACACCGACGTATACCTATGAGGACATATCCTGCGTAAATACGACTCAAACTCAGCAGGATGATGTGAGACGTGATCGCTCTACAAGCATAGTGAATGATGCGCCGGACAACTTCGCCAGACAATCGGACGAGCAAGTGCCTCCACTGACGATCCCCCTCGGTCATCAGACTAGCACAAGCAGTCTCCTTACACTCTCTTCCATGCGCTCTCTGGTGGGCGACTTCCCGGAGGAGTTTCTATTCCTGGTAGAGGAGAATCGTCCACATCCTCCGTGGTTACAACACGTCGAATTAGCGTCCGATGAGGTAGGACAAGACATTCTCCAGCTTGAGAACCCATTCGCAAACACCTGTTTTGAGCGATTCTGGACACTAGTGCATCCGTACCGGCCCTTGTTTGACCTGGAAGACCTTCAATCACAATACGAGAGAACCTTGAGCGAAGGGATCCAGGAGGATCCACGCTCTGCCCTCGTTCTGTCTCTCCTTGCATTAGGAGCAACTGCCTTGGACCCTATCGAAGCCGCCGCAACCAAACACAGCGGTGATGCGATGGTCAGACGAGCTCTTCGCATACTAGTTCCGACATGGGCCACGACATTTAGCGGAGATCTCGTTCTATCTCAGGCACTCATTCTTTGCGCGCTTTACTTCTGCTATGTGGTCGACCCACTGATGGCCTGGAGGCTTACACATATGGCATCCACAAGTGTGCAGCAAATGTAAGCTTGGCATTCGTCCTTGTTAGCTGACGTTGTGTACAAGTTTGACCATGACACCCTCTAGGCGCAGAGAACATTTGTCCAAAAACACCAATGAAGGTGTCATCAGAGTCAGTTGGGCGTGCTTCTTAATCGAATGGTACGTCTATCCCCCATACCTAAGGATGGGAACAAGGCGTTGATGAAAGATTTCGAATAGCGATATCCTTGCCGAATTCCATCAACCCAGAAGTGGTATCGAACCGCTGGTTGATCGGATGCCCTTTCCTGCATACAGCAACGTCACAGCGTTAGAAAGCTTGTACTCATTGGCCGACATATCGGCCAGGTCCTTGCTCAATCGAATTCACCATACGATGTACTTCACGGACAGTCTCTCCCTATATGCAGGTCGGTCACAAAACTCAGGCGGGATCCTCTCGTCTGATCCCGATGCTTCATTATTAAGAGTTTGCGAAGAACTCGATCGCCAGCTTGAAACGTGGTATGAATCGCTACCAGAGGCCATCAAACCAGATCTTTGGGGCAGACCCAGGGGCAGTGACCAAGCTTGTGTTCTGCGCCTGAGATATTGGTCCGCCAAACACAACATCTATCGACCTTTTGTGGTCTATGCGGCGTCACGGGCTACAGAACATGAGGGAAGCATACCGGTGGCGGCTCTTGAGCGTTGCCGGCTATGCCTCTCTGCGAGTCGAATATTCTTGCTAACTGCTGGCCATGTTCTGTCGAGCAGAAGTCCATACACTTTTAGCACAGCACAGTGGTAACACTCTCCTGCGTTCACGTCTCCATAGTAGCTAGCTAATTGGTGATTTCACAGCTGTGTAGGCTACGCACTGATAATCGCGCTCGCTGCGCAAACCACTGCTCTGGCTGACTCGGTAGAAGATGTTTCAGAGCTATTGGAGACAGCAGTCGGGCTTGTGAAACCATGGGCACTCCCTGGATCGAGCATTGAATGTGGCCTTGAAATTGTGAGTTCTATACACAGAAAGCAGCGACTACGTAACCTTAACCTTCGGGCGCGTTAAGCTGCACTTGCAATCAGAGTGTATCCTCCGGAAAGGCTCGTAAGTCTGATTACCACTACCTTACTCGATTTATCGTCATTGGAACTCCTTATGGCGAGATGTCGTTCAGCTGCATACGAAACATGGTTGTCTACATTATTGGAGGCACATGAGAGCGACAGATCCGAGTCAACATAAGCAGCCGCATGGAGAATTGACACTACTGCCGGACTCTGGTGTGCTACTTCTAATAGAACGCCATTTTTGGGGCTGTTATCTCCAGGCGGCAGTCGACTTCAATTTGGAGTCTTATAAGCCTTTTTCCGCCATGACTTTTTCAATAGCCACCTTCGCTTTTTCTTCGGCCTCGAGAAAGAACTTGCAAGCATCTCCGAACCTCTTATTCAGCACCGAATTCTCTGCAATGAACTGGTCAAGCTTTTCTCCACCGTTCACCACATAGTCGGTGTCCATTGTCGCTAGCACTTGATTCCAGTCGGGTCCGGCAAGCGGATCTATGGTTTCCAATGCCTTCAATCGCTCTGCCACAGCGAATTCAGCGTATGGATGCTTAGGCTTCTTCTTGGCTACCGGAGGAAGGGTGTCAGGTGTCTCCATAAGCTTGTTCAGGTTGGGACCTTGAATAGTGACGTGTTGGCAACCCAATTCAGCCATCGCAAGAACCTCATCGATGTTGAAATGACTGTGGTATCAAGGGTCATCAGTCAGATCTACAGCAACCCAAGTAGTGGCTGCCGGTGCACGACTTACCTCGCGATGACCATAATCGGTTGTTCCTTTCCCGTCTGCACATAAGCCTGCGCAAATGTCTTCAGAATATGTATAATGCGGGCGGACATGGGATGCTGCAAGGTTTGTCAATTTCCTTGATCGTTTCAACGGCACCCGGGACAGAGGTGTACCTCGAGAGCTGGATCTTTGACCTGTGGACGTAGCGCCGGATCAAAATGTGCTGCGATTTCTAAATGACGGTGAGACTTTCTTGCACAAGATCCAAGGTTAAATGCAGTTTTACTGACCATTGTAGTACGGACTGATGAACAGACAATTTGACTGGCTTGCTGCAATAGCTTGTTCCAGAGAGAACACAGCTGTTGCCAGCGTGCGAATACCCTCAGCATTGAGCTCTAAGGCCGCCGATGCCGCTGCTCCGGAAAATGGCACTTTGATGGCGAAACGATCTCTCGACACGCCGGACTTCTCGAATGCTTCGGCATACTCGTGACATTGTTTAATTATGGCGGTCCGGTCGTTCACGTAGCGAAGGGAGGTCTGAACAAGCACACGGCCTGATAGGAATGGAACGTTCCTGGCACAAAGGGCGATGGCCTAATAATATAAACCCCCTCCATCAGAACTTGAGATGTCCATATATTTGTTCAGTGATTGAGGAGGACGTACCGCCATGGTATACACTTTCTCCCATCCTTCTTTACCATGCTTGTCAACAAGTTCCTCCAGGAGGGTCTGGTTCTCAGGGTTCAACAGCTCCTTCGTGATGACGCCTTGATTCGAGGTCTCTGGTAGGTGCATCAGTAATCAGTGGGGCCTTTTAACAGGTTTCCAAGTTCACCGTACGGTTGTGAGGGGTGAACGGCAAGCTCTTGATGAGTGCAGTATCGACATCGTCGACGTCGACGTTGCAAAGTTCTTCGAGTCTCTCGAGGAGCGACCGCGGCGCCATGATGAGTTTGCTGGTGAGAGGTATTATCCTGCTCAGCGGATGGCCTGGACAATTGGACGACAGAGGCAATCCTTCTGGGCGAAGAAGAGACGGTTTTGGTGTTCAATGTTCCCCGTCGTGTGCTTCTACGAGTTCGGGTGCAGGAAACACGCCCTGAAACCTGCTCTCTTTTGTTTTAGCACGACTCCTCTCGTTGGGGTCCTCCGCGACTCATTCTCCGGACTTCTCATTCTGCTGATTCCGGTGTCGCCGACTGTCCGCGCTCTTACTCGGTACTTCCTCTCCGCACATTTTGAACAGGAAAAGGGGCGTTCCCGCCGCTAGTACAGACCCACCAGATCGTCTTGAGGGGGCGGTGGGCTCACTTCAATTTAGCGGCGGAAGGCGGACCGCCGCTAACCGGATGCGATAAGGCGCCAGATCCAACACTGCATGAGACTGGGAATGAGGGCCTGATCCCGCCGACTCTTCACCGAGCAAATCGAGCAGACGGCGTGGCTACCATACCACGTGCTTCTGTCTGTCGTGTCACAGCATAGACCGATGATCCGCAGGGTCCACGACGGCAGATGCGTGTGAGAGACCTGAAAATGGACAATCTGAGCAATGTAGTTTGTTCGACTGTGCGTGTGTGCATGTGTGTTTTTGTCACTTGAATGCGATTTCATCTACAGGTCCAACTGCGCCAATTTCGCAGTGATCAAGAGAGCAGGAATAGAGGGAACAGCATCGTCTTCTCGTTCTTCCCAAGGCATCATTCGTTTTTTTTTTCCCCCTGAATCTACCTACCCATTCACCAAGCCGAAGCACCATGATTTCCTCAGAACCCATCGTCGAGCCAGTCACCAATGGGCACTCGAGTCAAAAAGCCGGGTCTGCTAGGGACCTCTTCTCCCTCGACCGCAGAACTATCATCGGTATGTTGACAGCATTGTTGGCAGTGCGCAAGAAATATACAGCAACAAAACAATGCTGGCTCCCCAAAACCCCAGCCCGCCAGCCTTCCTGTTTCATTTGTGTCCTATGCACTCTTCTTCTTCTTTCTGTTCTCTAGATTGGTGTGGGGTGCGAAACTGAGATTTTTTTTTCTTCTACGTGGCAGTGACCGGTGCGACGGGCGGTATGGGCATCGTGGTGGTCAAGGCGATATTGCAGTCCGGGGCCGATGTGATTGCCATTGACCGCGAGGCGGAGCCCAAGTCTTTCAGCGGAGGTAAACATGCTGCCTGTAATCTTGCCCGTGCCAAACCTGTGTTACTAAACCTCTTCGAATCCTCTCTAGAAGACCTACAAAGCACCGCAGAGAAGAGCGGGACGATCGCGTCCTACTACCAATGCGACATCTCCGACCTCGAGTCCACGTACGCCGTCTTCGAGAACGCCGTCTCGTCCGCCCGATACCCCCTGCGCGGCCTGGTCAACTGCGCGGCGATCGGCTGGGTCGGCCCCTCGATCAGCTTCCCCGTCGACGACGCCAAGCGCATCATCGAGGTCAACTTGGTCGGGACGCTGATCTGTGCGCAGGCCGCGGCGCGGTTGGTCAAGAAACACGGCTTTCCGGCCAGCTTTGTCTTTATCGCGAGCATGAGTGGATACGTGGTCAATAAGGTGAGCAATATCTCTAATGACTTATACCCTATGCGCAACACAGAGTCATCAAGGTCAAATGAGAGACGATCTCGTATCGTATCGTATCGCATCGTATCGTATCGTATGCGATGAAGATAAACATGAAGAAGAAAAGAGGGGCGAAGACATTCAAAAAGAGACGAGAACGCTCTGGCTGATCATCACTTTGTATTACCCGGGCAGGGCACACCCAACGCCGCCTACGCCGCCTCCAAGGCCGGCGTGCACCAGCTCACGCGCAACCTGGCGTCGGAATGGGGTTCCCCGAACGACACAGACGGGGCCTCGCCTTCGCCCTCGATCCGAGTCAACTCGGTCAGCCCGGGCGTCATCCGCACTCCGATGACAGCGGGCGTCCTGTCCAACAGCCACTTTGAGCACATGTGGACCGAAGAAACCATGCTGAAGCGCCTGTCCGTGCCGGACGACTACATTGGGCCCATCATCTTCCTGCTCTCGGACGCCAGCTCGTATGTCACGGGGTCGGATTTGTTGGTCGATGGAGGGTACACGCGGTGGTAAGGACTTTGATGTAGCCGGTGCTTTTTTTGGGGGGGAAGAAGAGAGGACTTTTAGAGATTGAACGGGTAGTCAATCATGAGCTGCGAATTGAGGTTTCTTGGGAAGACAAATATACAAAAGAAAAATAGAATATATTCCATCTGTGTTACTTGGCAAATGATTCGGGTCGCAGCCATTGGCTGGCTTGCAGACTGATGCTTTTTTCGAATATATCTTGCCTAGCCTTTCTGTCACGTATCTGAAGTAAAGCTAGTATTCTCTAAACTTTTGCCCTGGTGGAAGATATCGGTTGTACGCGAGTTCAGGCGAAGGTAGTGGTCTCAATATCCGCGTTGCGGCGAGAACCGATTTTCAGGGATTGACAACGTCACTGTTAATTGCCCCAGTACCTGTGCCCTACCATCCTGCTCCCTGTCTTTCGGCCTTCACAGTATGGATAACGCATTGGCAATGCGACCAACACCACCTGGGGCACATTCTCTCAGCCGACGTACGCAGCGACTGGGTTCAGGCCGAAGAAGGTAAGGACGTCGCTCTGACATTGGAATAGGATGTTGCAAGGGTATCAGGATCCCGAGCTCGCAGATCGGACAGCTCCAGAACGCCAGAGGACGCTTGTGCATGAGGTACCCTAAGTTTGTCATTGTTGAACCCGTCAACCGAGAATCTCGCCTTGCAGCCAGGCACATCGCGCAAGGACGGGGGATGGAAAGCCCCCTTGTGCAGGAAGTTGAGCATTGCTTTGCTCTGGTCAAGGCCGATGTAGCGTTGGCCATCGCTGGGTGCGAATTCGTGCAGCAGAAGGTGCGCCTTTGCTTTTCTTCTCGTCGGTCGATGACGATTCATGGTACAAAACCTTCGTGCAGGCATGGATAACGTCACTACCCATGCCCTCAGGCTTGAGATTGTTGCCTTAACTGGTTGCCACTTTGACCAGGGTTGTTTGAGAGATCTTGTAGTTGTCAAACCAGTTGACTTGAAGACCACCAGTCTTTGCATACCTCCCAAGTCAGCCAGGAGGCCGCGAGGTGCGATCCTATGTGCTGTCCGCACCAGCACACTGAGCTTCGGGCCGCCTTGGTACACGCTTTAAATGGGAGCCTCCAGCAAGAAATCGGTAGGAACGTCTGAGGTGGTGGGGACCTTTTGAAGTCCAGCTGACTGCATCAATGTTATCTTTATCCCATTTCCTAGCCACCCCATGCGGTCATCCCTTGAGAGGCACTAGATCTGTGCGAAATGACGACATATGACGGTCGTCACTTGCTATCTAGTCTGAAAGTGAAGCGAGTAGCGAGTTAGCTATGGTTGGGTCGCATGAAAAAGGTGTTTCAGAGCAAACAGGTCGTCCAACGTCTTTTGCGTATCGTGCACGAAGCTCGCAAGGCCTCCCAAAGTCCACGTCGTACAACAGCCTGGGGAGATGTCTGCCCTGCTTGAGCCGATACGATCCTTGGTTTGGATTACTGGCCTTGGTCGAGTACGAAGAAGTTCACAGTCCGCTTGAACAGGGTCGATCCCGAGAGTAGCCGGCTTTTCAGAGACACCGAAATTCTGAACTGGTTAAATGCCATCAGGTTTAGAGCACCTCAAGTGATCTGCTCCTGAAAGCTTTTGTATCTCTGTGCTTACCGTGTCGAATCTCGGAGACCTTTGAGAACGATGGGCGATCTGATCGAGGTCGGTTTGAGATTTCCTCGCTGGAACGAGTCTTATCAGAAGGCGGTCCTTGTCGGTTGGTTATCCGCTAGTGATGGCGAATGTCAAGCAGGCCCTAGTTGTACAACATTCCAGGCTCTTCTAATTGTCGCCATAGAGCACGTTCTGCAGCCAGTTCGTCGTCATATCGAGTAACAGCTTGCTCAAACCTAGCCCACCAGTCGGCGTTGGCATATGTATAATGCGCCTTTGTATATTCCCAATATTCCGGATACCATCCGGCAAATTGCCAGTCAATGACGACAACAAGTTTGCGGTTGTGCACGATGAGGTTGCGTGGGCAAATGTCGGCGTGGGAAAAAGAGATGCGATATTGGCGGCTATGACAGCGCGTAACAGCTTCGCCAAAGACTTCCGAGCAAGTCTCTAGCGGAATATTACCTCGCAGAAACGAATGAAATTCTTCAGTGCTACTAAAGGGACCAAAGGGCCGGTATCCCAGACGGACGTCGAAGCATTGTCCGAGTTTTGGCGAGGCGACTATGCCGTTTTGAGGCGGTTCAAGCCCTCGTAGTTGCTCGATGTAGTTGGATACCTGGTTAACCAAGGCCTGCTTCTCGTCGGCTGAAAAGGCGTTGCCATTCCATACCGCTTGAAGAGTGTCACCGTGGACATATTCCATCTCGATGTATAATTTTTCATCAATTCGATAGGTTTGGTAGACCTTTGGCACGGGGATTGAGGTGTGTTGCGCAACGTATTCTAGGCCTTCAAGCTCTCCCACTTCACATGGGCCTTTGATAATTCGGTTTTTGCTCACTCTGATTACGGTCGGTCCGAGGAAGCCAAAGCGCTTTTTGCCCAGCCAGAGTCGAGCACGGACTATCAGCGATATCAGTCTCTGTCGAATGGGCATGGTGAAAATAATGCAAGGAATGGATAGAGAATCGCGATTGACGAGAAGAAGACCGAGCCGAGTATACGCTTCGAACAGCCTTGTAGGGGGAAATGGACGAGGGAATACATTCATATGCATATAGATGGATAGATAGATAGATGAGGACACACAACGGAACAAGGGACGAGACGAGACAAGAGGTGGAAATGTCATATGCAACCCTCCAACGCCTATCGTTGCCAGGACGCGTTGGAAGAGGTTGGGATGAAGACAACAGATTCTCGGAAACACGTGACAAACAAGTTGGAGGCAATCAGATCACATGATTCCTTGGCGATTAAGGTCACCTTGCGCTGATGAGTGACTGGGATTAAAGATTGGAGACTGGGACCCACAATTTGTCGCTATTCCTCATATGGCTTAGAGCCCGCACAGGTGAATGAGCTAGCAAAAAGCGCCAAGACACATACGGACATACAGGCGCCTGCCTGCTTGGGAGGGTTTACTTCCAGCCTTACCTTTACACATATTGCTCCTACGCCACAAATACGTGAAATACAGCAATATGGGCGGCAAGGCGCGAGTCAGGGTAGTAATCCGCCACCGTGATGAGTTCTCGCATGGAGACAGCAGGAAACAGTTGGGTCAAGCGGCCTACCATTGGGGAATCCTCATCCAGCCTAAGAATCCTAAAGGCTTTGACTCAAATGTCTACGACGTAACCGATGCGACAGTCCCTGATCCCATAACCCGAGTGGATCTCAACCCGAACCACGACTGGCGTATTCGTTCCAAGATGAGCGTCAATCCGATGCATAGCGGTCGCCTCCTGGGAAGAGTAATGATCGGAAAGGTGCCCTCGCACATCACAATTGAAGGGATTGACGACATTCTCAGACAAGTACCACTTCCTATCAAGAGTTCCACGCCTGTGCAGAATTGTGTCAATTGGGTTCTAGCGGCCATCGAAGTCATGCAAAAGCAGGGTTTGGCAGAGGCATTCGACGTGGACTAGTTTAGTATCAAAGCCCTCGAGCGCGCCGATCAATGACTGAAAGATCCAAGTCCTCGCCATTTCCACAATTATACCAACCGACCACGCTAGCCTCAAGGTAGCACTGTGATGATTCAAAGCATACGCCACACCTGGTGCCGAAGTGGTACAACCACCGGTTTTTGAGGCTCATCTTTGCTTGGAGATCCTTAGTGGAGGGCTTACGTGCAAACTACGTTAGTTTAATCAAACATATAGGCTCCACACTATCTTTTCGTCTGCGTCGCATATAGTCATCGCGACAGGGCCATGGCGGTAAGCCATTGTAGAAGACAAGCGCCCAGATATAGAGAAGTTCGCTGTCTGTGTTACGGGGAAACTGCTTCAAACTAGGTAACGTGTCACTTGGAGGTTGGGCAGGTGCCTGTGAAGAGAATATTTCTTGTGTCACCATACCAAAGGAGCTACAAAAACTTGATGGGGTAGATTTCCTGGTCACGTTGGCGACTTGATCTTTGCGCTTGGAGGGTCCTTGGCGCGAGGGTGGGTCATAAAAGCGGCGCCCACTCCACGCCCAGATTCAGCTAACCTTGTCGCGCCTTTATCCACCTCTTTCACAAAGACGAAAGTGAAAATACACCGAGCGGTTCACAGTTGCACTTTCTGGTTCTTCTTATTCTTGCCATCTCTGGTACTACGAGAAGACAAATAGACCTGACCTGAGCGCCCATACTCACAAGAGCCGCGGACAGAGGAGAAGAACCACTTGTGAGAGTCGCGTTCCTCCTGCTGAGCGTTCACCATGGTTGGTACGCAACCGCTGTGGAGCGGTCTTGCTCAAACCGCACGTTGTGAAAATGAACATTCATCCTTTGGCTCAGGTATTTTGTGCAGCCCTACATACTTCTTGCTCATCTACCACTGACTTGTCGCCATAGAGGGGCTCTCGCAGACCGAATTAGATTTCATCCTCGAGGAACGAAGACCTCACATTTTTCCCAGTTGGGGTGGACGTGCAGAACCCCCTCCTCCTACAAGCGACTCAATAGGGGGACCCTCCTGGGATGAAGGCCGGCAACGATGGCGCCGAACCCTTGAAGTTCTCGACAATGGAGAAGTGAGAGTGAGAAGTAAAGGCTATTCCCGACAATTGGAGCACCTCGCAGACGACCCGCAAGAACTTGATGCGGTCTGTGCCCTACGCTTCCGCCACGCAAAACATTAGGAACTTGTGCTAACCCCTCTAGGCTCTAAAACTCATCGGCCAATTCGCGCTCGCTGCTGGAAAGCTGTACTGCGACGTGTACTGCATTTCCGGTAAATCCCGTCCACTGAGCCCAAAGCAAGTCGAAATGTCAGGTTTCTGGCTGCATGGGGGGAAATTCGTGACCTGTGCACACCTTCTACAAATACTGCCCAACATGCACGTGGACGAGACGGTGAAGCGTTTGCTCGATCCATGTCTGGCGCAAGCACGTGTTTCGACAGCAAACCTATCAGAAAATATTGACGACGTTTGTAAGCAACAGATGAGCGGATAAATGTGTCATACATTGCTAACTTTCTCAAGCCGGGCCTTTGTACCCTGTTCGCTTGTCGACCGTCTGCAGAGCCTCAGACCTTGCCGTCTTTGTCTTGAACCCTCAAGCCGCTGAAAACAAGCACATACCTTTTCCTCCCACACACTCCATCGACCCTGGCCTGTTACAACCACTATCTTTCGGTCATAACATGTTGACCACGGACTACTTCGCCGCATATTATCCGAGGAAGAAAGTGGATACACGTGACTCGCCATTGTCTGACCAGCTCAAACGCAAGTCAAAAGCACTAAACATCATCGATGCTTGCGAATTCATGGGGCACGAAGTCAGAAATTCCCACGTCCCCCAGACACTCCTGGACCCGCCACCTGCAAGTCTTTGCCCCAGCCCTTCAAAGTCGCTCTATACTGACTTGCCCTCTAGAATTATGATTATACCTTCATATCGGAAACTCGAAGCATAGCCGTTGGTAGGGTCATTGCGAAACAGAACGGGAGTTCTCCCGCACTTTGGTACAAAGATGGCAAGCTCACCGAGAATTGGGATTGCGATATTCCTGGCTTCTGGGGATGCAGTGGAGGGATGATGTGCAGAATCGAGAAGAACTCTGGTGTTTGGGGAGCTCGTGTCGTTGGAATATGTGAGTCCATGCCCGTATCTGAGCTGTCATCCCTGCGAAATGTAAGCAACTGACCGTTGTGTAGTTCAAGGAGAAAGCAGCAACAATCCCAAATACAACAGTGTCCTCGGATTTACCGCTGCCGGTATCGCAGAACTCCAAAAGCCCCACTTCGACAAGCACCAGATCGACCGACAGCTTACATCTCTCACCCTGTGAAGGCGGTGGGATCATACCGATGAAATGCCTCCTGCGGCGCGACATTCGACACGAAAATGGAGGTCGGTGATACTCTGAAGTTGTGACGAGAGGAGGAGTAGCCATCCAAGAACAAAAGCGCTGTTTCGAGTCTTTCCTAACCCTGCCTGGTCTTGACGAGCAATGGATCATCACAAAGGGGGAAAAAAACAAGGAAAAACGTCGGAAAAAAGAAAAAAGGAAAAAAGAAAAAAGACAAGAGAAAAGAACAACAGGGAAAACAAGCAAAGGGGACAAAGAGAACACAGCAAATAGGAAAAGGAAAGAAAAGAAAAAAAAAGAAAAAGAGTGTTGATCTGTTGGAAAGAGATCATACCCATCTTTCTGTCAATGCAGGAAGAAGTCATTGCCCAATAGATTGAGAATGTCCGCTTCAAGTAGACGTCGGGCCCTTGGTCCTTGCGGAGTGCGTACCAAGAAACAATTCTCCTGTATCTCCAACGAGACTGGTCATGGTCTGCGGAGTAATGGATTCCAGATACAGAGAGCTACGCAGACAAATCTTCTCCACCTCTGCGCGATCTCGTGTTCCTCGCCTCCGAAAACAAATACGTGGTTGCAGTAAATCTCTTCATATGACCTCTAGCCCAACTATCCTGTCCCCTGATTCATGTGTCACAGTCCTCTGAACGTGTTGCAGCAAGAGGTATTCTCATCCTCAAAAATAACCTTGACACACACACACACTTCTTGCCCCTTGTAGCCATGTCCGGCGTCCAGGCTTGTATACGGCGAGGAATCTTCTTGACTGCGCTCAGGCGGCAACACGCATTCCTGACTGCGACTCGACACCTCATGCAACCGTAGCATCCCGAGCAGGGACCTGTCGGCCACTGCGTTGAAACTGGTAGAGCGGCTCCAAATGTTCTCCGCGCCTGAAGAGAAGGTACCGTCGCAGCGCCCAGGGAAGCACCTAACAAATAGCAGAAGTCAGAAAGAAGCAAGTTTTCGGTACAATTCATGGAGGGCCCGTCACGCACCTTTCGGATTTGATAGCTGATGAAGCGTCTCGTCGGCACCGCAAAGACGTAGTCGAGCTCTTCGAGCGTGTAGCCACTCGTGTCGGGCACGAAGAGGAACATCAAGATGAAGACAAACACGTTCATGCCACTGCAAGGACCCTCGTCGTCAGGTGTCGTCGACGCGTCATCAGCAAGGTATTTCTTTTGTGTGAAAGACTATGTGTGCGAGGATATTTGGATGGGAGGCTTACGCGTAGAATCCAAATGCACCTGTTGCGGTGAAGGTGTTCAACATCAGGGGGAATGTCAACGATAGAGCCGAGGACAGCGCAAATGTCGCCGACACCGCCCAGCTGTTGCCGATTTCCCTGTGTGACAGTGGAAAAGCTTCGGCGGAATACACAAAGGCGACAGGTCCTGTTCAGAAAGATGGGGTCAGAAATGTGATTGCCATCTCACGGTTCAAAACGTCGAACGGAGGAGAGAAGGCAGGGTTGGATATATATGTATATACCTTGACCGACGGAGTAGAGAGCGGTGAATGCGTAGATGAACAGGGCGATCAAGCCGACGTGTGCCTTGCTGGACTCGGGGATGTAGAAGCAGAAGCCGGCGGCAAGGAGTGTCCAGGCCATGTGTGGGAAGGTCGAGAGAAGGAGAGATCTAGAATCCCACAGGTCAATCTTCTGGGTCCTGAAGTCGCGACGAGCGGGTCATTCGTACCTTCGACCAAACCTATCAATGAGAAAGATTGCCGGGATGGCAAAGACAAAGTTGACGATCCCGTAGCCCAACGACGTCAGTAGTGCTGTGTGCTCGGAGGCGCCAGCTTGAACAAAGACAGTGGACGAGTAAAAGGCAATGATGTTCATTCCTGTAGCAAAGACGATCAGCTTCAGAAACGGGGACTGGTTGTTTCAATAGACCAAAATTTAGAATAGGCAACCCCTTTGAAAGAGCGGAGACCTCGTTTCGTCTCATAAAATCATGGACAGCGTTCTCAACTAGGAGAGAGGCTGGAAACTCACCGCAGAATTGCTGACCCATGAACACGACCAGGGCTGCTATACCACTTCTTCGAATACGAGGGACCGTGGCGAGCTCACGGAGTCGGATGAGGTAGGTCGACGCGGCCGCCATCTCGTATTCAATGACCAGCTGAGCGTGGACGTAGTAGAGGTCGCGTGCAGCTTGTATTCTGTGCCGCCTCAGACGGCAGAGCGACTCGAACGCTTTCCTGTACCGGTTCTTTTTCATCAACCAACGAGGAGACTCTAACCGGTCTCTGTTAGCGGTGGGCCAGAAGAGCACCGTAAGGTAACTGTACCTGGACAGAAGTAGACGAGAAGGGCGAGTGGCACCGCAGGGATGAAGGCAGATCCAATCTGGAGTCTCCATGCGATTTCCCCGACTCGGTAGACGACGAGGTTGGCTGCAAAGCCGAGGAATATCCCGAAAGCCGTCCACATCTGCCACCCCATGACCAGGGCACCTCGAATGACAGCGGGGGAGTTCTCGGCAGCGTACATGGGGATCGTCGCAGCTACTCGGAGAGAGGAGAGTCAGCCAGACTCGCACTGACATGGGGAAAACCGGGCGGCAAAATCACCTTTGAGACCCATTCCGAAACCCATCAGGAGCCTGGTGACAAGTAGTTGATGCCAGTTCTGCGACAGCGCACCCCCAATCGGCGTCAAAATACAGAAGATGGCCGCGAGGAAAGTCGCACCACGGCGGCCAAGAAGGTTGTTGAACGGGTCAGACAGCCAGCATCCACTTCACCATGTCAGTACATCCTGCTGGGTCATGGAGCGTCCAACAACTCACAGGAAAGCAGAGGAGATATAAGGAGCAGCGTTTACCAGGCCGACCAGCCAAAAGTCCCTATTGGAGCCAGATGCGATGCCAAACTCGACCGGAAACGTCAGATTGGCGCCATTCGACCCCGTCTGGTCCCAGCCCCTTTTGGTGCGTCAGCCTTGTGGTGCCCAGTGCTGGACTTTTTGCTGTAGGACCTACTGTACTGCCGCCCCGATGGAGCAGACAAACACGGTTGCGTACAGAGCGAATGGATGAGTCCACCTGTGCTTGACTTCGTGTTGGAGCGCCTCGAGCTCGTCGATGTCGAGTTCTTCGATTTCTTCCAACGGCACCGCTTCCTGGGCGACATAGGCACCTTTCTTCAGGACGGGAAGTATGTCGAGGAGATCCTTGTCCGTGGCAAAGCGCTCGACTTGGTGCATCAGATCGTCTTTTGAAATTCCGGCCAGAGGATTGACCAGCCTGTATACATAGGGTCAGCGATTGATCACCAAGCAACTTCCATTGTCATGGGCGTCGCCATACCTCGCTGTGCTATTGTCCCTGATTGTTTCGAGCGCAATATGTCCTGCAGATGGGGTACGCCCCTTCTCATCGTGAGAGGCCTGCTCGACCTTCTCGGACGGAAGCTTTTCGGCCATTTTGAAGTGCAACTATCTAAAAGATGAATAAACCCACAACGAGCTCTGTTGCCAGGAGAATGTCGTTTGGTAGAAGAACAGTCATGGGCCTGGGCGGGACAGAGAGCGCACTTATGTTTGTTGGGCATCTTTTGGTGGCTGATCCAAACCAAGCATACCTGCCTTTTCCAAACCGGCTCTGTCAATTTCCAGCCGGTCGGATAGTCCAGACCCCACGGGGTAGAACGGCTGGGGGTTGCGTGAGATTTCTGGCCATGTCGGAGGAACTCCGTATTGAGTACCAGACACGGGTCTTGGTGAAAGAGAATTCGTCACCTTAGTGCCACACTCACGATAGCTGAAGTGAGTAGCGCCTGACATCTTGTCATGGAGTGGTCCTCCTTGGCGAGCGTCCACGAGTATGAGTACTATATGACTAGAGCTGTTACGGGCTAGGGTACCCACAAGCGAACAGCCCCAGTTAATCAGCCTTGCGGGGGCTTGACGAACAAGGCAATATGCATGCTCCTACGTTTGGCTTAGCGGCGGTCTGAGTTTCCCCACAGGCGGTCCGCCGGTGCCGCTTTACAAAGCCTCCGGGGTCAAGTGGGGTTTACTATTTCATTGCATCCCAGACCTCTCCATACCGCACGACGAAAACTCCGCAACCTCGCCTGCCACTTGTTTCTCCTCCAAAGACGGCAAGAGTATTTTTTGGAATTATTGGCGGCGGCATGGACGTAAGAGCCGCTGCCAACATTAGCTCATTTACTCCTAGGCGAAGTGATCGAGTGGGTTTGTTCATGGATGGAAAGATCATGCCATTTTTCGGTTACCGTCGGTGCTGGATGTATGTCTCTAATTCAAGGAGAGGTGGCCCCGACTGCCCTATGTGCCTGGTGGCGCCTTGACCTGAGTTCCTGGCCACGGGATTAACAGCAGTCCGCCGCCTGTGACTATTGTCGCCACAGCTAGTCAATTTCCCCGCCGAATTTTCGACAGCTCGTGATGCACCCTTAGGGGGTGAAGGGTAGGCTGCCAGAGCTTTACTTTGCGTGGTCTCTCGGTTTCCTGACAGTCGAATCTCACCGTGTCAACGCGGTGGCAACACACTTGAGGAGAACCTTCCAATACTAGGCTCGTTGTGCTGGAGATCGAGACATTATGCCAGGGTCGAAATGGCGGTCAGAAATACAGAGTGGAACAGATCTAGAGCATATCATACGGTGTGAAGAGCTTTACATAGAGCTATGATTGAGCGACTGTCACTTTTCGCGAAACTGCTGACTTGACTTCTCGCTCTCATCTCGAATTCTCCACGTGAACTCGTAGGTCTTGCATGCATCCTCGTATGATGACAGGATTCCGTCCGAGGGAGCTACAAAGCCCTGTTCTTCGCTCCTGGCATTTTTTACAGCTTCCGGACAAGGAGCAGCACCGAGGGAACCTAGCAAGCCTGCGAACTCCGAATAGAACGGGTCGTCATTGATGAAGGTGAACGATTCTTCTTGTTCCGAAATCGGGGTTCTACAAGAGTTCAATGTCAGCTGTTGTACAACTCCTCAAGCCTCATCAGAGCTCATCCGAGCTCAGGATCCTGTACGAATCATGCTTTGGAAGTCATTTCGTGAAATCTCGTATACGGCAACTTACCTCACGTAAAGAGTGGGAGCGCTGTATAGGTCAACTAGACGAAGCTGGAAGCCATCCCCAGCAACGACGATCTCATTCGAGTACCGAATACCATGCAGTGCGACGATGTGCATAAGCGATCCAACCGCTCCGCCCTGATATTTCCTGCTTTCTATCAGCCGGGTGCCGCATGAAAGTTGAGAGGTTCCTCTACTCGAGCACATACCAGAATGCCGCAGTCACGCGAGGAATTCGTTCCTCGGTTGGTATTTGCGACTCGTCCACAAGCATGCTAGAGAGCTGTCCAGCCGGCTCATAGTGCTCCAGTGCGCAAGCTCTGACCGTGGCGAGGTCAACCTCTCCACCAAGATATCGGCAGAGGTCACAAAAATGTGTTGCTTGCTCGACAATGGGGCCACACTGCTTCGCCTTGTTCCACCAGTCCGTCTTTCTCACTCTCGAGTAAGCCATGCTATATCGAGCATTTACAGCCATTACCTTGACGTTGTTGTCGTGGAGAATAGACATGGCTTTCTGCACAACCTTGAGATACCGAAGCATATAGCCGACTGCGACATTATTTCCTGATTGTTGAAGTATTTTGGCAACCGGCCAAACTTCGAGAGGTCGGGCAGTTGAAACAGGCTTCTCAACAAACAGTGCCGGGGCAGAACCAAACGCAGAAACGACTTGTACCTCAAGATCACGACCATGCTGCATGGTTCCTCGAAAATGAGGTGGTGTAGCCAGCAGTATGAGATCCGGATTAATCTTCATGTGCGCCAACTTCTCCTGGGCCTCCTGTAGAGTGAAGAAATGTTTTGTATTTGCATAGCATGTCGCTGCTGCCGACGTGGACTTCTGGGAGAGAACTTGTTTGACACGTTCTGCAGAAGGATCGATAATTCCAATGACATCGAGTCTCGCACCCAGATATGCTTCGATCCGTAATGAGTGATTCCAAAGAACGTTGTCATTGCCGAAAGTGATGTTTCCCTATATGCAAAGCTCTCAGTCTCCTCTCCCAATAACAAATGACGCTCTACATACTGCCCCGATAAACAGAACACCGAATTTCCTGCCAAGGGCTGCCATGCTGGGCCTGTTTCGGGCCAACCTGTTCGAATCACGTTGTAGACCAGGAGGTAACAGAGGTTGGATAACCGTGATCTGATAGCATTAAAACCGGAAAATACCAATGCCGAGGCCGGGTAGAAATCGATGGTCCGGACATGTTGATTTACCGGGCCAAGACTCGTGGGGGAAACTCGAACTTGGGGCGATATCACGTTGTCTGGACGAGGGACAACTTTGTTCCCCATCCTTGAGTCTTCCAACCGGTCCTGAAACAATAACGCCGGCCCCTTCGGACTGGACAGTCAGCGCAGGCAGTACCACAATCAACCATGGAACCAGCCCCTCGGCGCAGGCTCAAAGCGTGCCGGACTTGCCGGCGACAAAAAATGAGGTGTACAGGAAGCCCGGAGTCACCTTGCCCACGTTGTATCAATGCAGGCCTCCCTTGTGTTTTTGAAGACAGAAAGGCAACGGCGAACGGTATCGTGGGAGGGGCACAGAAGAGAAAGCATGTCCAATGGCCCCAACCAACTGTAGTCGTACCACGCTGACTCTGTCTTTCCTGCTAGACTGGTAGAATTGGAAGATGAGATCCAGAAGTTGAGACGAGAGCTCAAGTCTGTTTCACAGGCTGCAAAAGGGGTCCCGGCTGATGATTCGAATTCTCTACGGAGTCCAGAATTGTCCAGGCCTCCCGTCAATGACAGCGACTCGCTTCCAAATGAAGACACTCAGCCTATCATCTCGCAGTCTTTCACCCCTACACAGGGCGAAAAGCAAGATCACACAACGGACATTTCTAGATCTGACCGATTGCTCAACATCGAGCAACCTACTCCATCAGCTTCAGCGTTCAATGTCTCTCCTGTGGTCCAGGACAATGGCCGAACCGGGCACGAGCGACAGAGTTCTGAAGCAGAGCCCGACATTGACTACATGCATTATCAGCACTTGAATGCTCCAGTTACCGCCGTTCAGTCCATGGGATCCACGTCTCCTGACTCAGAAAAGGTTCTTCATTCAGCGGGCCTCGACGATGGCAGCATCCATTATGGTCAAACCTCGCAGGCATTGACAGAGGCATTGACACCTCCATCTGTTGAAACATCAGACGTCGTGTTGGACATCTTCAAGGATGAGTCCCAGGCACGACTGCTCTTCGCATCGTAAGCATGCCGTGCTCCTTCGGGAAGAGATGCCGCCATTGACCTTTTCCTGACTTAGCTATTTTGAAGGGGGTAATCCTTATCTTCCCATGTTCGATCCCATCGTGGATACCTTCGACTCTATCCGAGCCCGTTCGCCTTTTTGCCTGATTGCAATTCTATTCATCGCGCTGAAACAGAAATCAGGGATCGTGCACAAAGTCACCACGGACCTGCAGAAAACAGTGCGAGAAGCTTGTCTACAAGAGGCTCGTCGCCAGGTATGCGACAGTATCTTCGAGAGTCCCACGCTCGAGAGTGTGCAGGCAATGACGCTGCTGGCAGCAAATGCGGAGAAGAGTTGGTTCGCAATTGGACATGCTCACGAAATGGCCCTGGAATTGGGCTTGGACTCTGCACTTGATGAGTTGCTCAGTGCAGGCTCCTTGACAACTGATCGAGCACACTTCCACAGTGGCAGTCGCAGAGCCCGTACGTGGCTCATCTTATATCACATTGAGCGCGAGCTTGCGGTCGGGACTGCAAGGAAACCACGCATTCGTCAACTTGACACGGCGTCACTGAGGCATTATCTGGATCTGCCTGTCTCCTATCCCAGTGATATGAGATTCGTAGCTACTATCGAGATTGTGCAACTTCGCGGTGAGTGATGGCGTTTATTCCCACAATGAGCTATCTGACACGCTTCTCTAGCTGATATCCAGCGCCAAATCGAAACTACCACTTCACTACCTGCCATTTCTGAGAGCGCGCCACGAGAATTCGAACAGAAGGCTCAAGAATGGTTCCAGTACTGGGATGGCCGGTTCAAAGGTATTCTCACTCCACTCTACGGGATTAGACGGACTCTTTGGCTCTGTCATCCTTATCACTGCGTGGAAGCCTCGTTTTGATGCACTGACGTGGTTTAGCATACAATGTGACCGAGGACTCGCTTAATCGAATCAGCCTACGGACCCAGAAGAACTATTCAGCCATCACAATCTGCTGTACCATCCTTGGTAGATTACACAAGAACACAGACACACACATGCTGCCGACCATGGATGAAATTGTCCGTCGAACTGCTGAGACCGTATCCGATCAGCTCTGTCTCATCGAACACTCGAGATCCTACAGATGGCATTTCCGATGGGCACCTACGTATTCCGCCCTGATGCTCACATTCGTATGTCAGTATTGGCCGAAAATCCTTTCCTTCTCTTGCTTTGGAGAGTTCTGATGGCCCAGCAGTAGTTCTCGCCCTTCAACTCGCGCATCGCTGGCCGACGTATTTGGACAAATCTCGGACAGAGAGACAGGTCAGGTCCGTCATTGGCCTGTTGGAGACACATCCCTACCAAAACCTAGCATTTCAGGTCAAGAGCATGCTTGACAGATCAGCAGATGAGCATTTATCGTCGCGACGACGTAATTCGACCATGTCAGGCGAGTACTCGAGGCAAAATGCATCATCGCAGATCAGCAGACAACATAATCCTCCGCCCGAGAACAATGCACCAGCTAGAATTGACGACGACAGTGGTATTCTACCGAGCAACCAATGCAGGGAGACTTCAGTTGTCGAAGCCGAGAATCTGGACTGGCTCTCTGGGGGTTCGATTCTTGAAAACTGGACCCTGCTCGAGCTGGGGAACTCGTCGCCATACGATATGTCTATGTTCAGTGGGGTAGGAGCAATATAGAAGCGCATATTGATGCTCTGGCCCACATGAGACACGCTTAGCCTTCTGATATATACGCACGCACAGACAGGGGCCACAACCTCTACCAGGCACATTGAGATTCCGGATCCTGGAGTCCTTCCCCCAAATCTCGGCGGCAGCCTTGTTCAGCCTCGTCACAAGACCAGCTGCAATTGGACTTGGTTCTTTTTATAGTTTGGTGTCGTGCAGTACCGTATGGTTTGTTGATTTTGAAAGATCGATATAGGCTCTCAAGTCGATAGGATTCATGCCTATGTCGGAGTGGTTATATTGCACAATGATGTATGTAGGGTGGTTTGTCAACACACGGATTGCGCCGTTGGAAGGTTTGCGGAGCCTCGGCGGCAACTTTAACTTGCGTGGTGCGAATACGTCACTCGATTCGCTGGGCGTCGTGGGTGCGCCGTAAATAGTGAGGAGGCGGCAACACTCAACATGTAACCCGGATTCCAAAACTCCCTGCACCGACATTTCATCCGTCCCAACTGCACTCCCTGGGGAGTTACTGTGCTTGAACAACTTGGTCACGCTGTGGCAGCTTGATCTCCTTGTATCGCATTTTCCCTCATGGCTCCCGCTTGATTGTGCGCCGCAGCCCCCCCAAGGAGCAGCGTGACTTCGATGCGCTGCCTAGCAAATGGGTCCATTCAAATGGTTCCTCTTCGTCTACGTCCTCGGTGGTCTCACATTCGTGCCGCTCCTGATCGCCCTCGTCCTCCTCTATGCCTACTACACGCTCCCTCCGCCGGAAGTGAAGACGGAGAAGCCGAGATCCAGCGACGATCCTGCACAACTACTCCGCCCCGAAGATGACAAGATTGCATTCAAGACGGGGACCGACGACCTGGCCGAGCAGTTCCACCGCAAACACGACTCTGACGTTGCCGCCGGCTACTTCGCCGTCTGCAGAGAATATGTGCCGGGCGGTGTCCCTGGCAAACCGCCGGACAAGCTGACCCCTGCGGGCGACGTGGCCGTCCAGGAGTCGCCCAGCGTCTACCAGAGCATGTACCGCAGCATATTCGACCGGTCGCAGAAACCGACCATAGAACCCAACAAAGACGGTGCGGGGAAGAACGTCAGAAAAACAAATAATGTCTTCTATGTGGTCTTGAGGTGGGTTACAAATGCAGGAGCCGCCTGTCTGGAGGATGGAGCCTGACTGATCAAGCTAGGCACGGACATCTGATGCTTTACGATGATATACAGCAGTTGGAGGTCCGCTATGTCATCTCCCTCGATTACCACGACGTCGATGTCTACGCGGGCGGGGAGGAAATCCCAGAGGGGGAACTGTGGATCAAGCGAAATGCCATCAGATTGAGGAGGAAAAAGACCCAAGTAGGAGACAAAGCAACTTCGCTACCGTTCTTTCTTTTTGGGCAGAGCCAGTCAGACAAAGAAGATTTCTACGATGCCATTCTCAAGAACCAAGAGAAAAGCAGCACCGAAGAACCACCCGGCCCGCAACTGTTCGATGTCGAGCATATTGTGTTACTGGTACAGAAACTACACTCGTCAGAGGAGCATTTGCAGACAAGATGGCTCAATGCCATGATCGGCCGCGTGTTCCTGGCCATGTACAAGACCCCAGAGCTGGAAGGGTTCATCCGAGAGAAGCTCACCAAGAAGATTTCGAGGGTGAGAAAGCCCACTTTCATCACCAAGCTGGGTTTGCGGAAAATTGACCTGGGCACCGGCGCGCCCTTCTTCAAAAATCCGAGACTGAAAGACTTGACGGTGGATGGTGATTGCACTGTCGAGGCCGACGTCGATTATACAGGAAGGCTTAGGATCGAAATCGCGGCTACCGCGCGCATTGATCTGGGTACTCGCTTCAAAGCCCGCGAAGTCGACATGGTCCTAGCAGTGACGTGCAAAACATTGCAGGGCCATCTCTTGGTCAGGTGTAAACCGCCTCCCAGTAACCGATTCTGGTTCACATTCGAGAAGATGCCCCACCTGGAACTCGATATCGAACCCATTGTCAGCACCCGGCAAATCACATACACTTTCATTCTGAGGGCGATCGAAAGCAGGATCCGAGAGGTGGTAGCGGAGAGCATTGTACATCCATTCTGGGACGACGTACCGTTCTTCGACACGAGACATCAGAAATATCGCGGTGGCATCTGGAAGACGGAGCCCACATCTACGACTACCACCGAGATCCCAGACGAGGAACCTGAGGATGTGATTGAGACTGGTGGCTCTGGAACGGACACACCGGCAGAGCTATCGAAGGACGATAGGGTCATGAGTATGCCGGTTTTAGTTGAGACCAACGGCATGGGCAAGAACAATTCCGCGAAGAAATCTATGGCTTCCTTGAACGACCTGTTTGGTAAGAAAAAGTCGGAAACAACGGAAAAGGCCGACTCAACGACACCCAGATTGATGCGATCAACATCGTTTGCCAGCGCCGCAGATCCCACCATCACTACGAACCATGTCGATGCGAACACACCCTCTCGTGGTGTAGATCAGCCGACGCACAGAGAAAGCGTTGCCACAATTCTGAAAGATCTATCTTCCAGGTCAGTTTCCGGAAACGGGTCAGAACTGGGTTCTCCAGCGGCATCCCCTTCTGTAGAGTCTGCGATGGCGGCAGCGTTGAAGGGGCGGTCGTCAAGCAACGCTTCAGGCGTGTCGGAGGACGAGGACCACAACGGTCCAAGACCATCTTCCCTGCCCAGGGCCCTGACAAATGCAAGCCGGTCCTCAACCCAAACAATCGATTCTGTTGATCAAAAGGACAGCAGGCCTGCCTCAGCGCAGGAGAAAAACAAGCCCCTGAAGAGCTTCGCACTCGGTGCGAGATCTTTGACTGCTGCGGATAGGAAACAAGCATTGGCATCTGTTAATGCTGCTGCTGCCGCGGCGCAGAAATGGGGCTGGGGCGTGCTCGCAAGAAATCGACAACGAGACGCCCAACAAGCGGCAATGCAGGGAACTTCAGGTGGGGGGGGATCGGGGAGTCCCCCTACTCCGCGAGAGCCAATGGGGCGTGGAAGGCCCCTTCCACCTCCTGGAGTTCCACTGCCTCCCCCTGAGAAAATCCGGCCAAACTCATTCCTGGCACCGAAGCGGAAAGCGGTGCCACCTCCATTGCTACCGAAGCGCCCCGAGACAGATGGATCCCACGAGTCGACATCGGCCAAGTCGTCACCAAAGCCACCTCTTCCGGAAAGGCGCAAGAGAACGAGCTCTGCGCAGCCCGAGGATGGTGGAGAGGATGAAGTGTTTGTGGTTGAAGCTCCGATGGAATCGCCCACGAGCACAGCTCATGATGAACATCATGACGACTTTTTCGGTCATGGTGAGCCGGCATCGCCGGCCAAGGAGTCATCTCAACCCTCCCTGCCAGACAACGGCAGCGAGAACGACGAGCCAGCAGCACCTTCAATCACAGAATCCCTCAACATGGCCCCCTCCGAGCTGGAGAGTGAAACCGAGGATGTGCAGGAACGGATACGCCCCCCGTTACCTTCCCGGGGGAGTACGACTCCCGAACATCTTTTGCAGGATGAAGATGAGATGCATAGGCAAGAGATAGGCATGTATACATAACGAAGGGGGGTGGCCCAGCGAGATAGCCAGGCTGCTTAGATATAATTGAAGTCCAGCATTATTGCTTTGGGCATAGAATACGATACCCGATGATAAGCGGCACCATGGCTTGACTTTGCCTTATTAGTTGGTATCAAGCTTGTTGGAACTGAGATACGATTTTCTTCATTGAGCAGGGAGGTGTTGGCCAATTCTTGGGTATCTGGCATACTACGGCTGCTGTGAGATGTGTTTCCTAGTTCGGCAGCTCTGCCGAGCTTCAACACCGCAAGGCTGCACATCTTGACGCGGCTCCCTCAATGACCATACTTGGTAGTCACGGCTCTCATATTCTCCACCTTTTCCTGCTCTTGAATTCTTTCTTCAGCTCTTCGCACTTCCTCACCTGTTATCTGCCGCGATGAATCACTATCCTCAGGCATGGGGTCGAGTTCGTACTACCCTTTTTGCAGGCAACCGCAACAAAGCTAACCTTCAACAGCCCAGAGATGATGTATACGGTCCCTACGATTCCTCACACCTCCAGACCTCGATGCCTCAGACGCATACGCAATCTCCCGCAGTAACAGGAACGTCGGTACTGGGAGTCAAATTCAAGGACGGCGTTGTGGTGGCAGCAGATAATCTCGGTATGTTTACCACAGCTGCAGCGCATTCACCGTAGATAGGGCTAACACATTCTTGTCAGCTTCCTACGGCTCCCTCGCGAGGTTCACAGATGTTAAACGTCTGCGAACGTTCCCTCCGAATACTGTGGTCGGCTTCGGTGGCGACGTCTCAGACATGCAGTATCTCGACCGGCTATTGCAGTCGCTGGACATTCGAGAAAACTACCTCTCGGCCACCGGGCACACGCTGAACGCACGAAATCTTCACATTTACCTTTCCAAGGTCATGTACAAGAGGAGAAGCGAGTTTGATCCGTTATGGAACATGATGCTTGTTGCGGGGTTGGATGAAGATGAGAAGCCGTTCTTGGCCAGCGCGGATTTGCTGGGTACAACCTTCTCGGCTCCAACGCTGGCGACCGGGTTTGGCGCGCATCTGGCACTGCCTTTGTTACGAAAACTAATGCCACACGATGAAGAGAGCGTCAAGGATGTGACCAAGGAGATGGCCATTGACGCGGTCAAGGAGTGCATGAAAGTACTGTTCTACCGCGACGCCAGGAGCTTGGACAAGTACAGCATTGCAGTGGTTACCAAAGAGGGCGTCGAGCTCAAGGAGGATGAGAAGCTAGAGAATCAAAGCTGGGCGTTTGCCGATCAGATTCGAGGATATGGTACGCAAGTCAATTAGGGGGAGGTAATGCATACAAGCATGGCCGGTGCACGGCGTTCAGTTTAGGACGGAGCACTCCAAATGCAGGGCAATTACACACGGTGGGCCATGAATATTCCCAAGAGAAATAAAATCCCTCTTACGGACACGGACCTGGACACAAGAGTCATCTTTTCCCTGACAAGAGCGTAGAAGTGTCCAACATCGCTAAGGTTGGCCTGTGGGAGCCACAACGAGGCAAACACGAAGGTCTGGAACACGAGACAAGATGATTATGATTGGCCAGCCTTGCACTCTCTTGGCGCTGGTGAGTCAAAGACGGAGTTTGTGGTGCCTGTGACGTGCCGATGCCAGAAATTTGGAGAAGTGGAAGTTCGACTTGCCAGAAAAAGTTGAAGAGGCGTTGATGCTGCCAGCCGCAAGCTGCGCACATAACTACCAGGTACATACATAGGTGATTTATTCGCAATACCTGCTTGTAATTGTACATTTTCCTGTTTGCGTGGATCTTCTTTGTTTCCAACCCCTATCTCTACCTCTCGTTAAATACTCGCATTCGCTTCCGTGCTCCATCCTGAAGCCTTGTCTACATTACGGCATCTCCAACACTCTCAATTCAGTGCCACCACCATGGATGGTCCAGCTGTGCAGCAGACACAGACCCCGCCGAACAACAACAGCCGTACTAATAGAGGGCAACGACATAGACGGAGAGGCGGCGGTGGTCCCAGCAGACCATCACCCTCGCAACCAGAAACCACAGTTCCCGCCGTCAGACAGAGTGCGGGCAGACCCTTCGGGGGACGCCTCACACGACTCCACGCAGAAGCACCGCCTTTCGTCCCATCCTCTCTCCCACCGCCTCCTCAATCGAGCACGCAGTCCAACGACTCAAAAGCTCGTCCTCCTCACCCTGGTAACAAGGGCACATCCACACGAACACCGCTGCGGCCACAGGGACGGAAAGGGTCGGTCGCGCGATCGACGGCGCCGGACATCGCCACCAGAATTCATGAGGACATTTCCCACAATCTCTACGAGTGTGCAATCTGCACCAACGAGATTGGTCGGTCTTCAAAAGTCTGGTCGTGTCGGACCTGTTGGACCGTGTTCCATATCGGCTGCATCAAGAGATGGTCGAAAAACGAGGGCTCGGCCGTTCCTCGCGCTGCGGGACAAAGCGACGAGGAGACGCAGGCGGGAAAACAGTGGAGGTGTCCCGGTTGCAATCTACCAAAGGATACGTTCCCGTCCGCATACACTTGCTGGTGCGAGAAGGAAATAGACCCCAAGAATATCTCCGGTCTTCCTCCTCACTCTTGCGGGCAGACGTGTGGCCGGGAGAGGACATTCCCCAAAGCATGTCCACATCCTTGCGATCTCCTCTGTCATGCGGGACCATGTCCACCATGCACAGCTATGGGCCCCAAGCAGAGTTGCTACTGTGGCAAGCAGGAAACAGCGAGACGATGTGTCGAGACAAATTATGAGACGGGCTGGAGCTGCGGTGCCGTGTGCGGCGACATCATGCCATGTGGCGAGCACACTTGCCAAAAGCCTTGTCATCAGGGTCTCTGTGGCGCGTGTACGATTGAGATTCCCGCGCGATGCTACTGTGGAAAAGTGGAAAAGAATATATTATGCAAAGACCGTGGCGAGGAGAGGCCAAGCAGCGACTGGATTGGCCTCTTCGATTGTGGTCAACAATGTGACAGACTTATGGACTGCGGAGTTCATCGCTGCGAAAAGTTATGTCATCCCCAAGATGCGGCAATACCGCATTGCCCGAAGTCAGTCGACGTCGTTACTCACTGCCCCTGTGGAAAAACGCCTCTGGCAGACCTCGAGAACGGCCTTCGAACACTCTGTACCGATCCAATCCCTAGCTGCGAAAAGGAATGCGGGAGATCGTTATCATGTGGTCACAAATGCAAGCAGATTTGTCACTCTGGAGTATGCAGTCCCTGCACGCTCAAAATCTCCAAACCATGTCGGTGCGGTCGTAATTCGTTTGACGTCATCTGCCATGAAGCGAAGGAGGAACCACCCAAGTGCGCGCGATTGTGCAAGGCTACTCTGAACTGTGGCCGTCACGAGTGTGGTGAACGATGTTGCACCGGAGAGCGCAAAGCATCTGAACGTCAAGCCACCAAACGAAAACTCAAGCCGTTGGGGAGTGTCACGCGGGCTTTGGATGAGAATGTCGAAGCAGAGCACATTTGCACTCGACCATGCGGACGCAAACTGAAGTGTGGAAACCACGTCTGTCAAGATCTTTGCCACCGTGGGCCATGCGGCAGCTGCAGGGAAGCCATCTTTGACGATATTTCTTGCAGCTGTGGTAGGACCATCCTTCAGGCGCCGTTGCCATGCGGCACTCGTCCACCGCCGTGTAATTTCCCGTGTAACCGGGTGAAAGATTGTGGCCACCCTCCGGTTGTGCACAATTGCCACTTGGATGAGGAGGAATGCCCCAAGTGTCCATTTCTCACCGAAAAGCAATGTCTCTGCGGCAAGAAGACTCTGAAAAACCAACCGTGCTGGAGGGCCGATGTATTGTGCGGGCTGGTCTGCGGAAAGCCGCTCAAGTGCGGCTCCCACGCCTGCCGAAAGACCTGCCACAAGCCAGGCGAATGTGAAGATGCCCATCAACAATGCCAGCAAGAGTGTGGCAAGACGAAGAAGACCTGTGGACATCCATGTGAGCAGCCCTGTCACGCTCCTGCGACGTGCAAAGAGGACAAGCCATGTCCATTCAAAGTCATGATTACATGCGACTGCCAACGCAAGAAGGAGGAGGTCAGGTGCAATGCGCGGGCAAATGTGCCTGAGCCTCCCGGTCGACAAACGTCGCTCAAGTGTGACGATGAGTGCGCCAGGTTGGAGAGAAATCGTAAACTAGCGCTGGCTCTTCATATTCCCGACGATCACACCGATGAGCACGTCCCGTACTCGACCACCACTCTCAACATGTACCTGGAAGATGTGGCATGGGCTCACAAGCAAGAGGAGACCCTACGGCTCTTTGCGGCGGACGAGAAGGAGAAGAGATATCCCTTCCCACCCATGAAGAGCCGGCAGCGAGCCTTCATCCACAGTCTTGCCGAAGATTTTGGGTTGGATGGGGAGAGTCTGGACCCAGAGCCGCATCGACATGTTGTCTTATTCAAAACTCCCAAATTTGTCGCTGCTCCCATGAAAACCCTAGCCCAGGCAGCCAGGATCAAGCGAGCACAGTTGAATGTGTCAGCTCCTGTGCAATCGACGCCGGATCGAAAAGCAGACGAAGTTAAGCACGACTACAACGGGTTGCTGTTGACCAAGCCCCGATTTGCACTGACCGAAGACGAACTGCGGCCTCTTATCAAGAAGTCCGCCCCCAGCATGGAGTTCGATATCATCTTTCTGTCCAACGATGAAGGCGTAGCCCTTTTACCCACCCTCTCCTCTGACACTCCTGAACAGCTGGTCACTCTTCTTACCAGTCTGCAGCCCACGATTGCCGGCGAGGTAACAAAGCATGGCCTCGGTGCATCGGTTGTCCTTTGTCAATTCGACACCTCGGACCTAGAGCCGAAGATTCTTCAGCAACAAGGCAGACCGATTCCGTCACTTACGGACGGATGGTCTCAAGTTGCGGCGAAGAGAGCAGCGCCTGCTGTAGCGCCTCAGGTCAAGCCCGTCGGTCAACGACCAGTCTACACGGTGTTGGGCAGTCGGTTGGCCGAAGCCAAGAGGAAGAAGCAGGAGAACGAGGAGAAGCTGCGGAAGAAAGCACAGCAGCAAGAGGTCGTCGAGGATTGGGAGAAGGAGATGGAGCAAGAAGAAAATGATGTAGCGACAAAGGGGGAATAGTCAGGATGGGACCCAACGCCAGTGGGAGTTAGTGCAGTTGAGATGCATGACATGGTGGTCCATTGAGCTGTGGCTTGCAGCATTTTCAGCTTGCAATGTCCTGCGGACTAAGTAGAATGCAGGTCTAGGAGGAACTGGTGGCTGTGGCTGTGCAAAGTAGCGCTTCCAAAACAAAGTCGATGCCCAGCTGGAACGATTCCGATTAAGTTAATCCGATCCGGCTGTGGCTGACGTCATTGACTGCGACCACCCAATGCCCCTCCCCCTGTGGCTGCTTTTCTCACTTCCTCCTTACCAAAAGTCACCACTGCCTGCATCTTGGTACCAAGAAACATGTCGGTGTGGCTTTCCCTTCTGTCTCTCCACTGATCGTCCAACCTTGAGTTACTGGCCTCTGCCATTTAGATGCTCGTGTCGCAGTTCCACACCATCTCTACTCGTACAGCTCCCTTGCCCTGCTCAACCAAGCCGCTTGGCTGCATTCTGTGACCTGTATCCTTCAGCTCACTTGGTGACGCTCGTTTGACCCACCAAGAAGCCATAAACCTCTATATTTCTCTTTCTCTCCAACCTTTTTCCTTCTTCATCTCCCGTTGTGCAAACCTGACACTCGCATCTCCAGACCATTTTACTCATCTCTAGATCGATTCCAACCTCGCCATTCCCATTCTTGCAACCATGGATCAACTCAAGGGTGCGCTTAGCAGCTTCGCCGGCGGCAACAATGAGCAACAGCAGAAAGAGGGTGGCAGTCAGCAAAAGGCCTCTGGGAGTGGCAGCGGCAGTGGCAGTGGTAACTTCCTAGGCGGGCTGGGTGACAAGCTCAATTCCGCGGCTGGCGGTGGAAAGGAGAGCGAGAAGAATGAGGATTACCTCGACAAAGGTGAGGCATTATTTCACGAACCCCTTGTTGGTAATGGGGGTTATACTAACCAAACCATTTGACGGGTAGGAGTCGACTTTGTTCAGGAGAAGTTCCTCGGGCAAGGACCTCAAGACAACGAGTCTGCCATTGAGCAAGCCAAAGACGAGCAGATCAGTGACTTTATTCGGAATCAATGTCAGTGCCCACTTCTCATTACCTGCCTGCGACCTGACATGTCGGTGAACTAACAACGAGACTCTCACCGCAGACAAATCGGCCACTGGCAAGGACTTTCCCGTCAAGGACAAAGAGACCAAGTTCTGAATAACTACAAGCCATGGCATGGCGATCCTGTGCTCATGATTGAGTAACGACAGTCGGGGACAATGGAGGGCGTTAGAAGACAGGTGCAGACACTAGGAAGCCTGAAGGTCAGGCCTAAGAATATGGCGCTCGTTAGCACGACACTCACGGCGGAGCCATGTCACATTACAAACATGGCTTTACCCTTGACGATACAGGGAACCATCAGGGTTCGTGACCAAGGATAGATATCCCTTACGGGCATATACCCAATCAATCAATCACTCAATTAGTCATAGCGACTATTTATGTCCACATTCACGCGATACCCGTACTCGACCAGATCATACGTCGTTGTGATACGTCGTTCGCAGAGATGCATTCTGTTCCTGAGAGAATGCGATTGAGCGTGGTCAGAGTCTAGAAATGTTTTTGATCAGTCCAATCAATACATGTACGTTAGCGATGGCGTTAGTGCGTGAGTAAGGAAACCCCCCCGATAGATATTTGATATTTCGTGGTGGACACTGACGGGGTGACTCAGTGACTGGATGGATCGACAGAGATACCAGTACTCGGTACATAATCTTTTTCACAGTTGTTCACAGTTGAAATGTTTGGTTGGGGCCCATCATGACCCTCCCACCTACCGCTGGCCAACATGATGATGTACTTGTACCGAGTAGATAAATACCCGTCGTTTTCGTTTTCTAACCGTCCATTCTCCACGGAGTCGGAAAAGATCCGGATAAGAACACACACACAAAAAAAGGAGTAGAACAAAAAACCCCGGGGGAAAAGAAAAAAAGAGCAAATGGTCACTACGAGGGTCGATACCTAGTGGTCATGGGGAGGAGAAGGAAGAGGAGGAGGAGGAGGATCTTTTGGGATACGTATACATATATATACGTGTACCTTCTATAGATGGAGACGGGAAGCAGTGGGCAATGCATACTTGGTCAGTATACTTGGTCTGTATGGTCAGCCAAAAAAGTCCAACAGCGCCGAGCGGATTCGGGAGGGGAGATTACGAGGCACATGTCTAGGTAGGTAGGTAATATCGACCCGTGTACATGTATTCAACGCACATCGCTCTCAAGAGAGAGGGTCATCTCCCTTTTCGACATGCGTGCATTTCTTTATTATTGAAATGAAATATTTCAACGAGATATATATATAAAAGAGTCATCAAACATACGCCACGGTGGGCTTGAGATTCGCGACCGGCTGGCCGTGCACCTGCGCCAGGCCGACCCTGCCGGACGGCTCGTCGGGCGGCGAAACGTCGCCGATCTTGACGCGCACATTGCGCAGCAGGCGGGCGCGCTCGAGCCCGTTGAGCGTGGTGCCGTTGTCCGGCAGCGCGACATGCGGGTTGTCCCGCGTCAGGGAGGACACGTAGCCGAAGATGTCGGGCGCGAGGGTGTGCGCGCGCAGCCAGCACGCGGCCAGCGAGGCAATCAACAAAATCGCGCATGCCGCAAAGTCGACGCCAATCCACGGCCACCGGATCGCGTAGTGCGGGTCGTATAGGGCGCCGTCGATCCGGACGGACTGGAACTGCGTGTCGTCCGCCGAAAAGGTCGGCGTCACCCCCGTCACGGCCTGCGAGAGCATGTAGTATGTGTTGAAGTACTGCGTGAGGGGCAGCGAGAGGCCGCGCAGCTGCGAGTTGAGGAACGCGTCGTAGTTGTCCTGGCCCTCGGCAACGCCCAGCGTGTCGAGCGGCGCACCGAGAAAGTTCGCCACCCCCAGCGTCAAGCTCGCCCCGACGTCCGTGGGCGTCGAGACGTTGAGCTGCCCGCCGCGCGAGAGGAGGAGGGCGCTGAAGAACCGCTCGGCAAAAACGTCGTCGTCGAACGGCGTGGCGAACGACGTCGCGTTCTGTCGGTTGGCGTGCTTCGCCGCGTACCGCATCTTCTTGGGGAAACAGCCCGTCACGCCGCAGTGGACATTGAGCTCAACGTTGACGGTCGTGATGTTGCATGTCTGCCGCGAGCTGCCGCGCTCGACGATGCCGTGGTCATTGTTCGGGATCCAGCGCGTCGACAATGCGAATTCGCGAAGCGGGTGGCCCTGGGTGTCGCGCGGGGCGTCCGCTCGGGGCTGCGTCATGTTGAAGCTCACGGATTGGTTCATGAACGTGCCGCTGGGGAACGAGCTGTACGGGAGGATAGTCGGCCGGCCGCAGTTCACAGCCATGTAGCTTGTCGGCAGGGTGTACTCGCCCAAGAACTCGTTGATCTGGATGGCAATCGGCCCGTAGCCGTCGCTGAGCAGCTGGAAATACGTCGCCCGCCCGACAAAGGCCGAGTAGTCGTCATTCATCTTGAGTTGGGACTGGTGCGCGACATCGACCCAGCCGTGGCGCCCGGGATGAGGGGCCACGTAGCCGACATTGTTGACCCAAAAGCCCTGGTCCAGGATGGCGTTGAGGTCGGGCAACACGGCCGACCCGATCGAGTCGGTGCCCTCGGGGATCGCGGTGGCGGCGCTGTAATCTGGCTTGGTGAAACCCACGGCGGTGATCAGAGCGGCGTTGAGATCGTCAATGTTGAAGGCGAGATAGGTGTTGTCGTAATTGGGACTGAAGCCCGACAGCGGACCCGTGCTGGCCGTGTACCCAGTCATCTTGTGATAAGGCTTCGAGTCGACGCGCTGGAATTCCTGCTTG